TGAAGGACATCCTGATTGCTTCCAAGTTTTGGCACTTGAGAATAAAGCTGCTATAAATATCCACATGCAGGTTTTGGGGTAGACATAAGTTTTCAGTTCCCTTGGCTAAATGTCAAAGAGTGAGACTTCTGAATCGTATGGTAAGATTATGTTTAATTGTGTAAGAAACTGGCAAACTGTCTTCCAAAGTGGCTGTACCATTTTGCTCTCCCACCAACGATGAATGAGAGCCCCTGCTTTCTACACCCTTCCCAGCATTTGACGTTGTTGGTGTTTTGGATTTGGGGCATTCTAACAGGTGTGTAGTGTTATCTTGTTTTAATTTGCAGAACAAATTTTCATAAGCTTATCTGCCCTATGTTTTCCTTAGTTAGCTGTCTGTGAAGGTCTTTGGGCCATTTTTAAATTGGCTTATTTGTTTTCTTATTGTTGAGCTTTGAGAGTTCTTTGTATATTTTGGATTGCAAGTTCAAGGCCAGCCTGGCTACATAACAAGAAAAAAACCCTGCTACCTGCAATGATTTGGAAGGTGGATCTTACTTCCAAGCCTACAGGAAAAGAATACTGCAGCAAACATTAGCTTCTGTTGACCTCACTGGAGATAAGTGCAGAAAATAATTGGCAAGTTTCCCAGCAGGAATAGAAGGAAATAGAGAGGGACCAGAAAATTGGCGTCTTACACAGCTAGAAACAAGAACTGTTTCTCAGCTTTATCAAATAAAAGGAAAAATGAGAAGGACTTTGATGGACAAAGACCAATTAACATTTCAGCCTTTCCCCAAGGTTCAAGTCCAGTTTATGGTTGTTTCATCCATTGATAAAAACCTTTGAATGGCTGGAGATGTCTCAAAGCAAGTGCCCGACTCCGAGTGAGATATTCAATAATTCCTTTTAATTTGACAAAATGATCCTGGGGAAAGAGACTAAATGTGCAATTTTCCCATCAAAGCCTGATAAATGCAATGCCTTATGTGCAACTCAATGGAAAGGAAATAGTGGGGTTGGGATGAGAAGGCAAGAAATGTAGTGAAGGGCCAGGGATTTACCTCAGTGATTCCGCCACCTGCCTCGCAAACGCAAGGTCCCGAGTTTGATCCCTGATACCAAAAAAAAAAAGAAATGTAGTGAATCCGAGAGGTACATCTAGTTAAAGACTGTAGGTGGTCTCAGTAGATGGAGCTGACTGGAATCAAATAAATGAGGCTACTAAGTTTTAAAAGAGTGATGTGTTACCAAAGAAAGTGTGTAAAGTTAGAATGCATATAAAAGAATAAAAATCTGAGACTCTTTGAGTCTTAAAATAAATGGGCCTCAGTTATGCCAGGCAGCAAATGGGCTAATGGCTTTTTCAGACAATAGAGAAAAAAGAATCGTTCAGAAGGTAGAGCCATGGACTTGTGGAGAATAAAGGACAAGGCTGTAGTCCCAGGACAGGAAATCAGGGCCAAAGCAAGGAATATGTCCATCTCTGCTCCCATAGGAAGGGAGGGAGTATGTTTATTCTGAGGGGAAGAAAAGCAAACTGAATATTTGTTGACCAGGACAGATAGCAGTTCTGATTAGTGCTATTCCCCAAATGTTTCCAGTTCTTTCTGGACACAAAGTAGGGTTACACATTCAAAAACATTCATTAGGAAAAAATTCATTAGAAATCCATACAGAGCCAGGCGTGGTGGCACGCACCTGTAATCCCAGCACTCAGGAGGCTGAGACAGGAGGATTGCTGCGAGATCAAGGCCAGCCTGGGCTACAAGGGGAGACCTTGCCTCAAAAGCTCACAAAAAAATCCATACAATATCATAAATATATACTTAAAATACAATGTTATCTGGAAAAAGAACCAAAACATTTAGGTGTTTAAAATACAAACATACACAAAACAAAAACACATATCCTAGGAAGAGGAATAGAAGTTAAGATTGAACATGTTAAAGAAAAAAATGATTCATAACACTCATCAAAGAAGGTAATGAAGAGTCCATTTAACAGGAGCCTTGGTAATAGGTATAGGGACCTCCAGTGGGGTCTTGCAGTAGGAGAGAGAGGTTGGACCCAATTCTGATGCCAGCAGGAGAAATAGAATTTTATAACCACAGAGTGGGGTGGGAGTGGGGGTGGAATCCATGAATGGAAAGTTACTGAGAGGAAACATGGGGGGCAGAGGGATTCTTGCTAGGCTGGCTCAACGGAATTCTTACCAAAGGCAGGCCAGGGTGGTCAGATATCAATAGTGGGAGATTTTCACTGAACTGACCTTGCAGGACTCTCACTCAAATTGGATTCTATAAAGACAAAGAGGGAAGCCCAAGTTTGAGCCAGTTAAGCAGAAGACTCAGAGTCCCTGTAGTTCTTGAAATAAAAAGGTGAGATACGTAGGCAAACTGGGTGACATCACTGCAAACAAAGATGGCCACAGATCTGACCAAAAACCTACCCTAAACTGCATTATACTTTTATTATAATGCATTTCCCTAATAAAATCTCCTCCCAAAGTGGGGACGTCACATGTCAAAGGACATTTTGGACCATGTGCAAACTCACACCTGCTCAGCAACTAAACTCTACCCTGTTTGCTTCTTTTGAAAAAATTCCATAATAATCAGTGACATTTCTCTGGAGCCCCCATAGAAATGGAGTATCTTTTGTTAGAGGCTTCTTCATGTCTGTAGGAGCCCATTCTCTCTCTGTATAGTAGTCCACTTCTCTGTCTCTTTGCTGGGCTAGCTACAGGAAAACCAGCTTTGTTTCTTTTCTGTAATAAACTTTCCTATTAAAGCTTCTGCCTATAGATTCATAATATGCCCCAGTTTTAATTTCTATTATCACTGAAGCAAGGACCCATGCTAGCCAATATAGCACCAGAGGTTCACAAAAGCAAAGATCAATTAATGAAGATGGCATTCAACTGATGGAGAAAGTATAGTGGAGAGATTCACATCCTTAATAGATTTAGCTGAGATTTGAAAAGTAAGTTAGAGGGACTGGGGATTTAACTCAGTGGTTTCGCCGCCTGCTGCGCAAGCGCAAGGACCCGAGTTCGATCCCCAGTACAAAAAAAAAAAGAAAGAAAAGTAAGTTAGAGACCCCCCACACACACACACAGACACACACACACCGCAAAGAGCTTCAGAGAGAAGCAGAAGTGGAACAGAGAGTAAGTAATTAAAGGAGTGCCCTGGGTCAACTGAGCCAGACATCGTCTCTCCTCTCTCTCCATGGAGCAGCTGGTGCAATGTTGTACCACAGGATGAAGTCATCATTATTACTCCCTAACCAGACTGAGAATCTGCCTGAGAAGGAATCCTAGTTAGATCAGGAGACCAGCAAATGGATTAGGCCCAAGACAATTCAGAAAATACAAAATATAAGTGGAGGAAAGGAAGGAAGGATTAAAATAAAGCACTTATCCCTAGAGTAAGGCCTCCCCCGTCCTATTTTTTAGGAACTGTAAGAACTTATTTGACTGTTCCTGACCTTCCTACATTGATAGCCTTTCATCATTCTTGCAAGGAAAACGGTCAGTTGTGAAACTTTAGCTTCTACTGTTCAGAGTGAATGTAGTTATCTACCATCTTGGTCTTGCATTTATGAAATATAAGTGGACAGTTACGAATCAGTAGTGATTTTAGGGAGCCCAAAGGCATGGAGTGAAGGACCAAGATGAGGCAATAGGACATAGAGTTAATTCAAGAAATGAGAACTTTTTTTTTCTTTTTTGGTACTGGGGATCAAACCCAGGGCCTTACATATGCTAGGCAAGTGCTGTATCACTGAGCCACTCCCCACCAGCTTTTTGTTACTGTGGCAGAGTCATTGAGAAAATCAACTTAAATAAGGAAAGATTTATTTTAGCTCATGGTTGTGGAGGTTTCAGGCTACAGACAGCTGGCTCCATTGCTTTTAGGCCTACAGTGAGGCAGAAAGTCATGGTGACAGCACCTTTAAGCAGTACAGCAGGTGGAGCTCACTTCATGGTGTCCAGGAAGGTGGGGGGAGAGAAAAGGGAGGACAAGAGGACCAGGGACAAAGTATAGGCCCCCCGGCCACACCCTAGGACTCATTCCCTTTCACTACACCCCAACTCCTATGTTTCTGTCACCCCATGTTTTAGTCCCCTTTCTGTTGTTGGAACAAAATACCTGACATACACAACTTAAAGGAGAAAAGATTTACTTGGCTTAGAGTTTCAGAAGTTTCAGTCCATGGTTACCTGACTCCAAGGCAGAAACAACATGGCGGAAGGGCATGGTGAAGGAAAGTTACTCACTTCATGGTGACCAAGAAGGGAGGGCCAGAAGAAGATATGCCCTTCAAGGACATGCCCCTGTGACCCACTTCCCCCATCCAGGCCCCACCTCTCAAGAGCCCATAAAGGCAGGAACTCATCAATGGATTGAGTTCAGCCTCATGATCTAATCACCCTGAAAACCCCCACCTCTTAGCAAGCCCTCAATACATCAGTCTTTGGAGGACAATTCCTATTTAAACCATAACATCTCCCAATAATGTCATCAAATTTTGAGTCCATAGTTGGATTAATACACTGATGAATTTATTTATTTATTTATTGGTACCGGGGATCGAACTCCGGACCTTGTGCATTCGAGGCAGGGGGTGGAACCACTGAGCTAAATCCCTGGCAATACACTGATGAATTTAGAGCACTCAAGATTTGATCACCTTCTGAAAGCTCCACCTCTGGATATATGGGCTTTTGAGCCTCATTTTAGATCTAGACCATAACAGATAGTTATCACATGGCCCTACACTGCATCTTAACAATAAGTTTGTGGAGAAATGACAAGACAAAGGAAAAGGTTTTAGGTCTGTAAAGGCAGTAAAGCATGGGAGGGGAAATACAAGTATTTGGGGAAAGAAGTGGAGGAAGGGTTGTTGGTGCAAGTCCAAACTGGTATTGACTCTGTCTTCTTTATGGCCATAAGCTTCCTGGGAGAAGGGATTTATGGCTGTCCTCATTTCTACAAGTTTCTGTTTTTCAGCAGATGAAGAAAGTTCTGGGAAGGCTGCTTTCTCTGTCTGCTGAATCACAAATGCCGTAAGTGCAAAACAATTATATGCCAAAGAGGTGTATTTTTATCTTTTATAAGAAAACAATATATAATTTTTATAAGAATTGGGCCGGGGATTTAGCTCAGTGGTTTTGCCGCCTGCTGCACAAGCACAAGGACCCGAGTTCAATCCCTGGTACCAAAAAAAAAAAAGAATTAAAAACCCCCTACCTCCCCTTTACTTTCCCTGCTCTTTCACAGCCATCCTCAGGCATGCCATAGGGGTTTTTTTGTTTTGTTTTCCGTTACCAGGGATTGAACTCAAGACCTTGCACTTGTTAGGCAGGCACAGTGCCACTGAGCTAAATTCCTGGCCCTGCCATAGAAAAGTGCTTTCACACTTTCAAGGAAAATATAATTCTCATAATATTAATACGAGTGATTTCCAAACTTGACAGCCTATCAGAATTACTTGGATACTTTTTTTGGGGGGAGTACTAGGTATTGAACTCAGGTCCTTGCACTTGCACAGCAGGCAGCGAAACCACTGAGCTAAATCCCCAGCCCACTTGGATACTTTTTAAAGGGGTTCTGAGGATTGATTCTAGGGTCTTGTACCTGCTAAGTATACACTCTACCACTGAGGTATACCCACAGGCCACTGAATGCATTTTTGAAAATTTTCTGGTTTCTTGGACTCAATAAATTTCAGTCTCAAAAATTTGGCCACTATATATGCAAACATAAGAAAAAGACCATGATACAAATATGTTTTGGCTTGGTTTGGCTCTTATTCTGCTGACGTCCATGCCCATGCCCCTTAGCGATCTGTCTTTTTCCCTCGAACACTGCTGCTAAGATATTTGCTTTCTTTTTGAGTCTCTGGTCAGCCTCCCACTTTGCCTCCAGTCACAGTTAAAGTGCACTTCGGTGGCCGCCTCTAAGAGCTGGGTTAAATTTATACCGGCAAAACTCTCTGACTTCTGTAGTTTGTACCTGATGTCTCCCTGGGCCTGCCCCGCAAAGGCAGGATTTACTATGCACTGAGTCTCAGCAGCCCCAGGGCTAAACAGATTGTAGAACCAAAATGCTTTACAAAGTCTCTCACAGGGACTTTTTATCAGTTCCCTGGAGTATCTCTGAGATCTTTCCTGTATTTATCACTTTCTTTTTGCCATCTTTGAGTCCCTGTAAGAGGGCCTCTCAGAACCTCAGCAAATTCTGTAGCTGAACTTCATCGTTTGGATCCCAGTTAGGGTCTGCCTCTGGAAACTGATCCTGTGTATACACTTGAACATTTAATATGCCCTTTGGGCTGGGGATTTAGCTCAGTGGTTCTGCCGCCTGCCTGGCAAGTGCAAGGTCCCGAGTTCCATCCCTGGTACCAAAAAGAAAATGGCCTCTGGGGCATTGTTTTCCAACCAGCAGAGGGCTGCTTGGGTCACTCTCCAATGCTCCCCAGGGTTAGAAGGAGCTGTTTGCAATCTGGGCAGGTTGGATTATGTGTCTGGAAGATGGATTGTACCAAATCCTTGAGGGCTTGGGGTTTTTCCATATACGAGGGCGTATTGTGTTTTCAGTTTAGGAGGTCAGTGGTTGAGAAGGGCTGGTTAACAAGACTTTGTTGTCCCCCTTGGATTTGGCCTTTTATATCTTAATAGATGGGTCCTCTAGTTTCTCAGAGGGGCATCTGTAAAGCCATTGTTTGGCCCAATTAGAGGCAGCTCACTTGACTGTCTGGGCCTTCCCCACTTTTCCCTTGGGACACTTACTCTGGTCTTTCTTCCTCAGGTGGAGTTCAAGGGTCACTGTCATCTGATCCTGCTTCCCTGTGGTCTTGCCTCTGAAAAGGCAGGTAAATTTGAGCATAAGGGGGTGGGGTCCCTGCCTCTTCTGGAGGTTCTTGCAGAACCGGTTTTTTGGGTCCCTTTTTCTGCCTTTATTTTGTTGTTGAGCCTCCCAGTAAGACTGATTTCCCTCTCTTGTTTTGCCTTAGGTATGGCTGAGCTATGAGAGTCTTGCAATATACCTCCAAGCAGGGTTGTAACCAGGTGGGTCGACTCTAGACTATATTTAACCAGGAGTCAATGTAGGGAAACTGATCCGGATGCCCTGGCCATTCTCTGTCCCCAGTTACTACCCTATGCACATACCCAAACACATTCTTCTATCAATCTTCCCTTCTGACCACACAATATCAAAGGAGGGCCAATTTATTTCACAAAGAGTTCTCAACCTCTAGGGGGTCAACTTTACTCCATAGTTGCCCGTATAGTCTCTTCCAAAGTTATTTAACATATGTTCTAATGGGGTGGGTTTTGATGCTTATCCTCCCATCCCCACCCTGTTGCAACAAAAATCACTTTGTTGAGCACTTTCACTTCAGGCTAGTTAGACCATTCCCCTTGTAGAAGTTTTCAGGTGCTGCTTAGCTTAGGTGTCGCATAAACCTGAACTTGGACCCCACAATGTACCTCTGTACAATGTACCAATGTACAATGTTTATGGTGTACCTCCATAAGCCTTATGGAGATTGTCACTAGTCCCAGTCAACCCCACACCTGCCTGGAGCATACAGTCTGTGCTAAGAGACTTGTGGCCCTACACACTGCACCCTAGTCTTTCATGCACAATCATACACTTCCCCTATCCCACCTTTCCAACTTGGGTGTAGATTTCGTCCAACTCACCCTGGGTCTGACTACTCGGCACGCCCCTCTGTGAGCCACTCTTGGTGCAGGCCTCTCTTGATACTCTTGGGGTTGTAGGTTTTGTCTGACTCCTCCTGAGTCTGACTGTTTGGTACATCCCTGGAGGTGATTGGTCTCCCTTTCTGTCCTAATGGAACAGACTTTCCCTTGGGCCCCAAAACCTTACTGTGGCCCTGTAGCGTGCAGTTCCAGAATTGCCCTGGATCCCTTCAGGTTCTGTTGCACTAGCAGAGGGAAGGTCACCTGGCTATGGGAGGGCCAATTCCTCTCCAAGCTCGTTTCACATGGTGGCACCAGAAGTCTCAGAACTCTGGTAGCTTGGAGCCCTGCCGGGCCTGCAGGCAAAGGAGACAGCAAATCTGTCATCTCTGGTGCTTTCATGGTTGTCAGAAATGTTGCAGTATCTAAGAGACAGGAGAGACCACTGGGAAACTGGAGGATCTTATTCCAGGATTTTAGGTCTACACCGACTACAGCCAGACTCGTGTCTAAAGGGCTGAGCCCAACACAAAGAAGGAGCTCCAGTTTTCACACATTTGTTGAAGGGGTTGGCACAAAATGGGACAAAGACAATTATTTATTTAGTGACAGCTTAACAGCTTAACCTTGAAATAATACAGGCATAAGGAATTCCAGGAGGTCATAGACCTTCTTTACAAGAACACAGTGTCAGCCTTATCTGTATCTCTTGAGAGAAAGCAGTCTCTAAGATGTTATAAGACTCTGTTTACAGGAATATAACTGTCTTGCTTATCAGTGTCTGAGTGGAGGTTAGCCTTGGAGGGAGGCAGATTTCTGACAATCCAGGACATCCCCAGACTCTGCTTGCAAGAATCTTGCTGCTTACCTTACCTGTAGCAGAGCAGAGGTCAGCAGTTACAGGGATGTGGAATCTGAGTGGGAAGCCGTAAGAAGCTTGGAGAGACTGCTTACAGCTAGGAAAAATTGATTTTTTTTTCTCTAAGTTCTGCTTTATTCCCCTTTTGATGCTTTTTATAAATGAGTTTTAACAGAGAGCATCATCATCAGTTATATTCCTTTTTCTATGGGGAGGTGGCTTTCTATCTGGCAGAAGCAAATAGTCAAGGCCTTTAGATTAGTGGTGGTGTGTCTGTCCACTAGGCCCTCTACCGCTGAGCCAAATATACTTGACAAGCAAGGGCAAAAGCAAGGGAGAGGGAGGCAAACTCCCAGGATAGCTAAGACTATTCCTATTAGAGTCTTGAACTCTCTAAAAGACCCAAACCAGCCTCCTATGAGGGTGTCTATCAACTTTGGACTGGGACATGAGCTAGCTTTTGGATTCTGGCCGTTGTGTTCTTGATAACCTCGTCATTGTCATCAATCTCTAGGGAGAAGTTAGTCAAATTGAATTTTCTGTATATTTTTCTTTCCTGGGCTAGGAGGTATTCTAACTCTAGCCTGTTTTTTTGTTTTCGTTTTTTTGGTACCGAAGATTGAACCCAGGACCTTGCACTTGTGAGGCAGGTGCGGTGCCACTGAGCTAAATCTCAGGCCCATTAGCCTGTTGTGATAGATGATATTTCCCATCTTTGAGGCTTGCTGAGCAAGAAGGTTTAAGGCTCTTTCTGTGTCATTGGAGATAAAATAAAGTACAGCTTGTAACCTTATGATGCAATTGAGCATGTAAATTGGGGTTCAATATCACCACATACCATCTTCTGCCAGGGTGACCTGGCCATATGTTGAATAATCCTTTCTGGGGATCATTCGTCATACTTCCAATCCCCTATTTTTACTGCTCTTTTGACCCCTTTATCAGTCTCTCCATAAACAAGGTATCTCAAGGTTGGTCCTTGTTTGAAGAGAATTAGAAAGAAAGATGGCCTAATTGTCCCTCGTATGCATGCCCCTGATGGTTTAGCTGCCAGTTGCTGATAGGCCCGTAACCCACAGATCCAGTAGAGGCTGGGGGTGCCTTCCAGTCATTTGGAGCCTATAATTGGTACCAAAAGTGGTTTAAAGTGGGAGAACAAGAAAATGGATTAGAGAGTGTCAGATATGTCCAATTTTGTTTTCCCCACCATAAGGCTTTTCCCAGAGTTTTATTGTAATACTGTTCCCCTGCACAAGTCAGTGCTCCTACCGAGTCAGTGAAAACCTTTCCCCAGTGAGCAATGTAGAGCCTTCCTACGATGGAAGTCTTTAACTAACAAATATTCAGCATTTGAGCGAGTTGAGTTAACGGTAAGGTAAAGTTATCCCCTGGCAACAGTTCTCTTGCTTCCCACAGCCATTGGTCTCCCATGTTAGTTCCCCCACAGACATAGCACAAGGTGGCATTCAGGTTTTAGGCTATATTTTTAGCCAACTGGGTGAACAAATTCTGACTAGGGCAGAAGGTTTGGGTAACCTTTCTGGGCAATGTTTATAAAATGAGTCAAAGACCTGGAATAACTGAGACAAGTGGGTTCAAGTCTTCTTGACAATATATATACGAGTGAGGCTGAGATCCTGTACCCAATTGTTAGCATCATAGGTAGCCCATGGCTCATTCAGGCAGGTCTGTTTGTAGGTTGGTAAAATTTTTGGGATTACAGGCCCTGGTTTGGCAATCTGGCCTGGAGAGTACCCTTGCAAAAGTGGCTGCTTTTGTCCCAAGGTTAGGGTGCCTGAGATAGAATTTTTCAGGGTTCAACCAATAGCCTTGGTTATGCAGTTTAGGCAAAAGCAATCGTTATCCTGCTGTAATGTAGGTGAGCATTGATAACAGCTGGTCCCTCTTCACAGTCTACCTAAGAATATAGGATAATCTCTGTATCTTTCTCATGACAGCTTCGTATATGAGGTTACTCTTGTTGCTCTTGAGTTCAGATATGTTGCATGGCAAGGATGAAAGTATAGAGAAATGGCCCCTTTATGATTTGGTGAGACCTTAGTTCTGTTTAAAAGGCCACCATCACCTAGCTCCTTTTCTCCACCATAGGCATTAAACCAGGTTTCCTAAGGGGAAACTTTGGGGTCATAACAGATGTAGGGCTGGTTATGCCTTGGGTCACAGATTGAATAGGTTGTTGGGTTATGAGTGCAAGTCCCCCATGTGTCCCCATATACTCATAATAGGTATGATATAACAAGGTCTTAGTTACAATGTTTCATGAATACAGTAATTACATTTTAAAAGAGATTTCCCTCCTAATAAGGGAGGAAAGAAAAAGAATTACAATGAAAAGAATAAGGAACTTTTGTTGTTGTTGTACCTCCATGTTGATCCCCATATTTTGGCCGTGCATGGACTGGTCAGCTCTCAGAGTGACCAGAGCAGGGTTGCTGCCTCCTCAGGCTTCTGCTATGCATAGACTAGTCAACTTTAGAGGTGATTAGAGCAGGGTTGCTATTTTCAGTGGCAGCTTGGTCTCTCCTCAGGATCAGCCAGTTCAGATGGTCTGGATCCTGTTGACTGGTCTTCTTGTCTTGGGCTGCCAGTTCTAGCTGACTGTGGTGGATCTAAGGAACAGTCTCTGCAACTTTAACATTAGTGAGGGTAAACAAAATTATAACATGGGGCCCATCCCATATGGGTCCCAAGGTGGTTGGGTTCCATTTTGTTGACCCAGAGTCCCCGGGTTTGAAGGGGTGTATTGGGTCTGCCAGACTTAGGGGCATTCTCTCTTGTACCAGCTAAGAGTATTTTGAATGGTTATTTTCAAAGCCTGTATCTGTCTTCTTAGGGACAATTTTTCTAGTTTGTAGTGATCATACTTAATTTGACCTATGACTGGGGGCAGCTGGCTGAATAGAATTTTATAAGGGAAGTACCCAGTTTGTTTGGTGGGGGTGCACTGGACTGAGAGGAGGACCTGATCCCATCTCAAGTGGGTTTCTTGGCAATATTTTTTAGCAATTGTTTGAGTGTCCAGTTTATGTCCTTCACTTTTTTTGAGCTCCGTGGCCAGTAAGCTGTCTAAAGCTTTTATTTTATTTTTAACATCTGTGTGAGCTCCTGGACTGTCTCAGCTATGAATGCTGATGTATTATCTGTCCCTCAGGTCAGGGGTAGTCCGAATCTTGAGATGATGTCTCTTAAATACCGCAACAGCATGATTTCACTACTTTTAAATTTGTTGAGATTTGTTTTATGGCCTGTGGCATATCTTAGTGGTTGCTATATGCACTTGGAAAGAAAGTATTTTCTGCTATTACTGGGTAGAGAATGCCATTATGGCTCATTGACAGATAGTGTTGTACAGATCTTCTATAACCTTACAGTTTTTCTGTCTATTTCTATTAATCACAGAAAGAAAAATGTTAACATATCCAACCAAAAATGTGGACTTGCCTATTTTTGCTTTTTGGTGTTTTCTTTGAGTATTATGACT